GGATATATGTTCGTTGAATCGAAGCTTACAATCCATGATAACTCCTAAATCACGGATAGACTGCACACGTTCCAGCGGAGCAGTGTCAATATTGTAAAGATGATTGATGGGAATCCAACAACGGCTAAAAGTGATCACCTTGCACTTATTGATGTTCACGCACATTCCATTTTCCTTGCACCATCGTGAAAGGGCATCGATGTCAATCTGCAGAGCAACACAGTCCAAAACAGACTTGATGACTCTGAAGATTTTGAGGTCGTCGGCAAAAAACAACTTTCCAGAAGATATTTGCAGGCACAAGTCATTGATGAAGAGCACAAAGATCAATGGACCTAACACACTCCCTTGTGGAACTCCAGATGGAATGTAGAAGGTCCTGGATCGTGCTGAGTTCACCTGGACGAATGCTTTCCTACCAGTCAGGTAAGACATTAGCCAGTCGGCTATCCAATCGGGAAAACCCATATGTCTCAGCTTTTCCACGGCATAGCTATGCGGAACAGTATCAAATGCTTTCGAAAAATCAATGTATACAGAGTCCACTTGATTCCGGCTTTCAATCTCACGAAACAAAACGTTGGTTGTTGCAGAGCGATGGGGAACGAATCCATGCTGGTATTCCGAAATTATCGGTTTTGCTGCAGACAGTAAGACCTCGTGGACCAAGGATTCAAAGAGCTTTCCCAGGCAACAGAGAATCGAGATCCCGCGGTAATTTTCAACGTGCCGCACGCTACCCGATTTGTGGATGGGAATCATTTTGGCAGTTTTCCATAAACCTGGGAATGTTTTTTCATTTAACGATCGATTGAACAGTATCGTCAAAGGTTTAACTATAGACTCGGCGCAATTCTTCAGCAGTGTTGGAGTTAAACCGTCGACTCCGGCTCCTTTCGACGCATCTAGTTTGGCTAACGCTCTCAACACTTCCTCACGAGAAAAATTGAAAAAAGGAAGGTGGATATCATGGGATGGCACATTTTGAAAACAACCCGGGTGAGGTTGGGGCGACTCCGCATTAAACACACTTTGAAAGAAGGTCGAAAAAAGATTAGCTGCCTCTTCAGAAGAGCAGGCCAAAGCGTCACCATACTTGACATTGTCCGGAACACGATTGCTTGCCCTTTGTTGCTTCACGAACCTCCAGAACATTGATGGGTTTTGTTTCAAATTCGATTGCAGCCTCTGCATGTATTCATGGTAGCTTGATGCTACGAGCTCTTTGTAGGACAGTTCCACAAGGTGAAGCGATTCTCGGTTTTCAATGGTTTTGTTAGCGAAGAATCGTTTACGTGCTTTACGCAGTCTGTTGCGCAGGTTTCTTAACTCAATGGACCACCAGGGCTTCCTGTTGGCTCCACTAATAGCAGGGCGGCGTCGAGAGACCTTCAAGTGGAGAATTTCGTAAAGCTTGTCGTAAAACAGAAGAACAATATCATCGACAGAGTGCCCCTGAAGAAGCTGCTCCCAGTCAACCGATGAAAATTCTGCATTGAGAGATTCGAAGTCGCAGCGCCTAAGATCCAGATCAATAGAGTCCGACTGAGCGTTTGCTGGAACGTGCACACATCTATGTACATCAACTTGAAGTTCTAACGGCGGATGGTGAGGATCGATAGGCAAGAGTGGTAAAACAGGATGCGATATTTCAAAATCGTCAGGAGCGTTCGTAAAAGCCAGATCGAGTAGCCTGCCATTCGGGTTTGAGATTGAGTTTAGTTGAACCAAAGTTGTGGTTAATTTCCGAGAGAGAGGGTCAATGTCCGTAGCCTGCGGGGTTGTCATCGTTGTTCTTCCGTTTGACATGTCATTTAGAGAGCTGGTGTTGTCCAAGTGCCGTCGTTCTTCCGTTGTCGTATCATTGTATGTTGCGGGGTTCTACGTATATTGATAATAGCCTGTGTCTTTAAGGAAGTCGAGAAGTGATCTTTCCCTATCTGGGTCATTGGATAGTGCGTCTCTGATGCTGAGACCGATACCGTATTGGTCTCGGAGGTTTTGATGTGCAGGGCAATTTACTATGAGATGCTCAACTGACATTTTGGAGATGTCAGACTTAAAGTGGTCATTTTGCACTCGTATACCTCACCGTGGAAAATTTTGAAATCATCACTTTCATAGTTCTTCTATTCTCCACGGGGGGGCAACTTTGATTTACCAATAAGATAACCAACACGCAAAGAAAAAAGTACCTAATTTTGAGTTCTTTTCAAGCGTTGTTCACGAGTTGTTGTCATTCACTCGCATCACTGTCGAGTTGGGTGAATAGAACTCAATTTTGGGTTGTTTTGCTCTTTTCGTTTTTGACAACAAGAGAGCAAGTGAGAGCTCGAGTGAGCGGCATCAACTCAAAAGTAAGTTTAAAGAACTCAACCGTTGGGTAGTTTTGGTTCTCCATCAATAGGAGCGTTGATTGTTTATTCTATTGACCGCCAGGTGCACTTCGGTGTGTTTACAATTTCCTTCGCACGCAGCTGATTTGAAGCGATCGTAGCCGGCGCCGGTGGTGTAGTGGTAACCGTGACTGCTTTCTCACCCCAATGGGTCTGGGTTCAATCCCAGCCGAGGTCGGTGGGATTTTCTGAGGCATAAAAATCTCTGGTTACGTCTTTCGCTTTACGGAAGTAAAGCCGTTGGTCCCGGCCTATGTGTGTTGATGAATGGGTGCGATATCCTATGTAGGTGTGCAAGCTGACTTCCTGCACATTCGATTGCCGTCAATGGATGGCAATCGATGTCCGTCGGTCATTGGCACTAGATTGCGGAACAGAGACCGACGTTAACTAAAGGAAAGAAGAAGAAGAAGCGATCGTAATCTCACCACCGATAAACCGACATGAATGATCATACAAATTACAAAGAAATTTCTGATCAAAGCACAAAACTGACACGCGTACAAAATTTATGAGTTGGTTCGTGTCTTATATATTTAGGACAAATTATTTTTATCTAGATAAAACATTTCTATGGTTTTGACAGATAGGATCGCTGCACATTTGAATCGGCCGTTATGGATTCTCGATCAAGAGTTAAGTTGAAGTTTCATGTCGGTTTGTCGGTGATCTCACCGCGTTAGCCTTTGTTATATGGGAAAAATGTCTAAGAAAACGATATATTTGGACGAAACTTTGCAAAAGCCTTCATCAGAAGTGAGGAATCAATAACATACAGCGTATCAGGCATGGAAAAAATACAACATTCCCAAAACGACACTTTTGGTAAAATACGGGAAAAAGTGATCTGGAAAACCAATTAGCTGATTGGGTTTGCTTGTGTGCTACACTCAAAGAATAAATAACATATCCAATGGAAAATAGTCATTAGATTTTCATATAACTTTCATGTAATATCATAATTGGGAATTGCACCACAAAATCACATGAACCTTTTGTGTCAAATGAAATTTAAGTGATAACTCATGAAATTCAGATAAATATCATTGTTTTTGTTAATGGAAAAATATTATGTGTATTCCCAATGAAAATTATATGAAAACTTTTTTCCGTGTACTTCAGGTGGTACAAAAACGACTGAAGAAATCGGCAAAGCAGACTGGTACACTCAAAAAATAAATCACATTTCCAATGGAAAATATCCATTAGAATTTCACTTATCTTTCATGTGATCTCATAATTGGGAATCGCATCACACAATCACATGAACCTTATGTGTCCAATGAAGTTTATGTGATTTGTCATATACAATTCATGTGATCGTATGAACGTTATTTGAATTTCAGATAAAAATCATTACGTTTGTTATTGGAAAAATATCATGTGCGTTCCCAATGGAAACTATATGAACACTTTTTTCAGTGTACAGTTGCAGTTCATGTTAGTTGAACGTCGAATTGAATCATCTAAGCCAGACTAAAGGATATGTTTCATTCATTATGGCTCTAGCGCAGTGTTCAATGTCGGATACAATTAAGTTATCAAAGCAGAATCTCACGATCATTAATGCAGCGTGGCCGTTCTTCCAACAAATTCTTCAATAAATATCACCTTTTTCTTCATATATTAATAGTCCGCGGGCCGTGAGTTGAGCACCATCACCAGGTATGAAAAATATGTAAACCTACTGTACGATTAACTTGATTCGCTTTCTACCGCGATCAGCACGGTGTTTCCGCTGTAATGATGCGTACAATCTATACTTTTATCTTTGAACTTTTGAACAAATGTATTCATCAATATTGCAAATCCACCGCTCGGTTCGCGGTAGGAAGCGAATCAAGTTAATGGAGATAGATTTTATTTTTATTACATTTTTATTGTAACATTCATTCGATCATTCGTGACTTGGCCGGAGGTGAAATTTGAAATTTCGACCTTCAACGTGAAGGGCATGGGTGCTAAAACATCCACCACAAACACGTAGCTACATTGCAAATTGTAAGCTACGTGAATATTAACACTTCTATACGAACATAATTCCGATTTTTTCAGGTGTTCCTCAGCAACTGTCACCAGACCAATTATTCATTAATAATAGAACTTAGATAGTATGCTCAGCAGACGTTTCACTAAAATCTTGCATTGATAATGTCTACAAATATTTTATATAAACGAAAACAAAAAATCAATCAATAGGTCACTCAAGATGTTATGTATTATTATGTTTGTGCTTCTCTTTTAACTAACCTAGAATACACTAGAATGTTAAAATACTATTGCTATAAAACAAACATTATCTATTGTAGAAATACGTACGTATGAGTAAAATGAGATTAAAACCACCACAACTCGAATACGTGGCATGCACTTTTTTCGCACTGATTCGGAACACACTACACATGGTCATTCGTAGTAAAAGTAATGTAAACACAAGTGCATTTTTTATCGCTTCTATTCTAAAATTAAGCCAGCTGTTGCTGTGCTGTTCGCTTACGAGCCGGTGAGCGGAAAGGTGTCGACATGGCTAATAATAATTCCTCACACATCGAACTATTAGTTTTTCGAGACATTTTAGTTAGAAAGAAAACTAATTCCACTTACCTTGTATTCTTTCTAAAGTCATATAAAACGCTGGCGCCACTCGAGGCGATCCTTTCCTCCAATCAATTCTCAAACTTGCCACCAACCGATTATTGCACTATTTAGAATAGAGATTGAACTACGACCGATGTCTTTGTGTCCTGATCTGCTTCTGATGATTTCCTCTCACTGACTGATATGGAGATATACACACACCGTTTCAGATGAGATTCTGGAAAACAATGAAAATCGAATTAGCACGCTTCATTTCATAATGCTGCACTTTGATGGGGACACGATTCGATTAGAGTGAATCCAAAAATTGTATTTGTATTTATTTCATACAACTTTAATCTGCAGTTTTACACTTTTTCAATAAGTCAAAAGAGAACATTGCAGAATCTTCAATTTGGTTACTAAGCAAGCTCACCTTACAATTTTGATAACATGGATCTCAACATTCATGCGCTGAAATGATTTATAATACCTTGTACAGACATACCGAGTAGTACCATTGTACTCCTTTAAACTAGTACTGGATTAAATTAGTACAACGGTAATACTCGGGATGTCTGTTAAAAGTATAAACTCGGTACTGGGAATGTACTTAAGTGATACTTCAATTGGTAGTTTTCCGCAGGGAAGCAAACAGCGTCAAAAAATCTTTTCACCGAATGAAGATGTATTTTTTTATGTGAGACGTCCAAATGAGAATTCAGGAAAGTACTCTCTTTAGTTTAAATTTCATCCATTTATTGTCTAAATCAAGTATGTTATTGTGACCATAGTTGCCATAACCATAGATAAGAAACCCACAGAAACAACCCTATGAAGAACAATAAAAAAAATATGGCGAATGAAAAACTGCATACCTACCACCATCTATGGTGGATGAAGCAAGCATGGTTACAAGTACAATTCTTATTGAGTAATTCGCTCCGTAATAATGAAAATCGGTCAAATGGAAATAAATGCACGAGGATTGAATCCCAGTTAAGAAATCGTGCAGGATTAATTGGACTTACGCAAGCAATTGTCGACATGACGAAATTGAAGGGGAATAAAAAAAAATATATGAACCCACGTCGACATGATAAATTGGACAAAAATGAAAAATATGCTATTTTCTCATGTTGTGCACTCAGATTGCTTATTAATTATACATTTTAAGCAGACGGCAAATGAAACAAAATATTACTTACGTGTAAAAAGCGTTAAAGCAACACAAATTGGACAAAACAGAACAAATAGCTCGGAATTTATTCGGACTTACGATTTCCTTCTACGACGTGAAAAAGTCAAAAGTACTGATGGTTTCTTCTCGCGTTTTCTCACAACGACTGTCGCTGTTGCTGATTGGAAGAGTCGCGTCGAAAACACACACACACTCTCACTCTCTTTTGACGTTTTGTCGAAAAGTGTCATCAGCAACAATCATCGATAATCATCAATGCAAGAGCATGCTGTTATTCTGTGAACGTGAATTACAGCGATGGTCAAAGTTTTTTTTTATCTACATCTCAGCAATAAATATTTTCGCAGATATTCGTGTGATCTCAAAGGATGTTTTGGTTGTTGATACTAGCTTTTTTCCAGTATGACAAAAATCGTTCATTCATTAATTTCTCAACACGCATTTATCTGCAAAACGGGTACTAGAGAGGGTCTATACCTCGGTCTATACTACACAGAAACAAAATCCATTGGTAAAATTACTATATTGATGGTTTAAATCGACAGTGAGCATGCATAAGGGCGTAAACGCGATGATCGATTCTCTTCGTCGATTTTCTCTTTGCATTGCCACAGCTAAGCGAAACAATTTTCTAGAACTTGTTCAATGCATAGTTGTAACAGGTTGTATTGACTGTCAAAAGCAACAGCAAACGCATCGAGAAACGTTAATTCTAGCGAGTTATTTACTAAAGAGAAAATCGACGTAGAGAATCGATCATCGTGTTTACGCCCTTATGCATGCTCACTGTCGAAATTAAATACTCCCACCAATAGATTTGTGCAGAAACGAAATTCATTTTTTTCTATCAAAACTACTATGCCGTTTGAGTAAGCATAGTAGTTTTGACAGAATGGTATTAACTTTGTTTATATTTATAGTCAACTATACTGATATCATGGTAGATTTAACGGCATTAAGCGTAGTTATACCAAAGATGAATACTAAGATGAAACTGTCGGAAGAAAAACTTTCTATTTTAGTGTCTTCTTTCACGGTCCCTTTCATCCAATGAGAACCCCCCGTATTCAAGGTAATTTTGTGGTTTTGCTGCCCCCTCGGAAGAGATGAAATTTTGCGCTCATTTTTATCAAAACAATCACACCAAAATCAGAGTTGTCCCATTTTTTAATTACTCGATTAACAACTAATCGATTATTTTTTGTTCGCTGTGCTGCCATTTTTCCACCAATGAGAGTGCAGCACATGTTTGAAACGATCGGTGATGATCCTGTGGAGATGTTAATGCTTATATCGGCATGATCTAACCGATTATAAATAGTTTACTTTTCGGTTCGTTAATCGATTAAACGATTATTCGAATGAAAATCAGACATCACTAGATGAATGTGAAACGTCATTTCAAATATAAGGCCGTTCATAAATAATGATACGATTTGAAAGGGACCGGGGCTAATCACAAATTACGTCTCCATGGTAACTGAAATAAACACGAGTGTTCACCGGTTGGTTATACTGAAAATAAGTCTCGATGAACATTTCAAATGGTCCTATCTGCTTTGATCGATTCTCTTCATCGACTTTCTCTTTTGATATCCTCGCCTACGCAAATGCATTTGGTACTATTTTTGCCACACAGTTTGATAGCAGAAGTTCTTATCTTGTGCTTAGAACGTTGAACACAGCAGGGAATGCTTTTGAAGTTGAGTTATTAATGGAAGAGAAAGTCGATGAAGAGAATCGGTCAATGCAGATAGGACCTTTTGAATTGTTTATCTAGAAGTGTTTTCTGCTAAATAGTATTTCTAACTATGGCCTTTGTTTCAGTGTAGCTCCTCTCTAGGTACACGCAGAAAAAATTATCGTTGAAACAAAAATATTTGAGGTAATTTAAACGTAAACTCAGTTTGTTCTGGCCACAAAAATAAACAAGGTTTATTTCAAACGTATTCCATGTTTGAAGTCATGTTATATTAATGTTTAAAATAGAAATAATGTTACGTTTATTTAAAAAATATTCGTGTTGAAAATAAACGTGAACATTTTTATTTAGTTTGACAACTATGCGAACAAAAATAAATATGCTTATTTTAACATGCTTCTTATGTTTGAAAGAAATATACTTAATTTTGAATTATATTAGCATTTGAATGTAGGATAAAGCAAAAAATGGATTGCAAAGAGATGAAAAAACGATCTGCAGACAGGGCATCTAAACTCCTGCTCTGTTTTGGGTGCGATTAAGGGTGGGCTGTGGATGTTGGGGTCCTAGTCCGAAATGCGGGGACCCATCGGGGTGAGTGTCCGGTGTTTCCAATTCAGTAAAACCAGTGAAACTTTGTGATATTAGCGTCGTTTTGTCGTTTCTAACGCTGGTCCTTATACCGGCCTCTTTCTACGTTCGGTGTTGGATGAGGGGGGGGGGGGGGGCTGAAGGATCCGGAATAGATTCAAAATCCATTTCAGATTTTCGTTTTTCTTCCGACGTCAGTTGTGGAGGAGGATGATACAGGGATCGACATCAGAAACGACAGAGTGACGTCGATACTGTGGAGTTCCTCCGGTTTTATCGAGCTGGAACTTTGTTAAGACACTTACCTAGGTGGGTTTCCGGATCCATGACTTCGGTTTTTGTTGCGGGCCGTTTACAGTTGATTGGCAAAGCAGGGACATCATCCAAATGTAAACAAGGAGGAAAAAAGGCAGGGCACGCTAAAAATCGTTTACCCAAATTCCATATTGTTGAAATAAACATGCTTTTGACTTTAATTCAAACATATTTATATTTTTTTGCAAACATGTTTTTAATATATTTTGAATTATTCATATGTTTATAGAATGAACATTTATATTTTTGATTTAAATGAACGAAATTCGGTTCCGTGCAGTAATCTGGAAGATCAGTAATATGCATGATCTATCAAAGATGGGTAGTAGATTTTTGTTACCATTTTCGCAACATATCCCACATACATACATGTTCATGCCTTCTAGTATCGTTTCATAACAAGTAGAAATAGTTTGACTCAACATTAGTCATTTACCCTTGCAATATAAAGATCACTGACGGGGATCTGTCGCAATTGTCCCATGAGTGTGTGAGGACAAGACTGTACCTCCACTTGTCTCAGGCCGCATGCTGCAGCTAATCCCGCTGTCAAACATGAGTCAATTCCGATACTGGTAGGCACAAAAGTGTAAAGCCACAGAACAGGGGAAGTGCAAACAAATCGTTGAATCAAAAAGTGGTACGATTTTCTGCTCAACAAGCGATGCGTTGTGCTAGCGTTCTACACAGGCTTTCCATGTGCACTCACACTATCATAGCATGCCGCCTATACTAACTGCAGGCAGAAGCTTCCTTCTACCGCTAGGTGTGCTAGTGTTTGCCGATGAATAGTGAAGCCATTATCTGATCCGAAGTTCCTCTTCTGTTCTGTGGTAAAGCCCTCTAGTTAAAGCATAGAGGTATCGACGACTGTCACCACAAAACTGAAAAAAGCTGTTCCAATCGAGCAAAATACATGTTCTTGCTTTCTGGTATCGTTTCATAACAAGTAGAAACTCAACATTAGTCATTTGACTCAACATTAGTCATTTACCCATTTTTTTTACGATCATTTTAATATTTCACATAGGAGTGAATTTAACTAGATTTCTCATTTTGATTTCAGCTAAAGTCGTTGCGAGAAATGCTTCTGGATCGCTGCCGTTGTAATGTGTTATTGTTGTAAAGGGTGATACGGTCAAAATTTGGTCAAGGGAAAACGCGTGTAAATCGGTGAAATCGTTTATTTAAAAAATCAAATTAAATTTCTTTTTCAAGTTCAATTAGTATAAAATTCAGGAAAAATATTCAGTTAGGCTTCCGCTTTTCCAAATCCGAATTGCCGGGCCTTACGCTTGACCCCTGCCATCAGATTTTGTACAGCCACCTTGTCCACCTTCTTCGCCGCAGAAAGCCAGTTTGCCTTGAACTGCTGCTCGCCCTTAGCAGTTTTTTTGGTCTTCTTTAGGTTCCGCTTGACAATAGCCCAGTATTTCTCAATTGGGCGGAGCTCTGGCGTGTTGGGAGGGTTCTTGTCCTTGGGAACCACCTGCACGTTGTTGGCGGCGTACCACTCCATGGCCTTTTTACCGTAATGGCAAGATGCCAAATCCGGCCAAAACAGTACGGAACAACCGTGTTTCTTCAGGAAAGGCAGCAGACGTTTATTCAAACACTCTTTCACGTAAATTTCTTGGTTGACAGTCCCGGAAGCTATGAAAATGCTGCTTTTCAAGCCACAGGTACAGATGGCTTGCCAAACCAGATATTTCTTTGTGAACTTTGACAGTTTCATGTGCTTGAAAACATCTGCTACCTTTCCCCTTCCTTTTGCCGTATAAAACTCCTGTCCCGGAAGCTGCTTGTAGTCGGCTTTGACGTAGGTTTCGTCGTCCATTACCACGCAGTCAAACTTCGTCAGCATCGTCGTGTACAGCCTCCGGGATCGCGCTTTGGCCGTCGTATTTTGTTTATCATCGCGATTTGGATTCACTACCTTCTTGTAAGTCGATAGTCCGGCTCGTTTTTTGGCTCGATGCACGGTTGTAGACGATACACCCAGCTTATTTGCGGCATCTCGGAGAGAGAGGTTAGGGTTTCGCTTGAAACTACCGGCAACTCTCTTTGTCGTCTCAGCGGCTTCCGGTTTTCGATTTCCCCCCGATCCAGACTTCCTGGCTGTCGACAAACGTTCCCCAAACACTTTAATTACATTTGTAACGGTTGATTTGGCAAATTTTAGCGATTTTGCCAACTTTGCGTGCGAGTAGCTCGGATTTTCGCGATGCGCGAGCAAAATTTTGATACGCTGCTCTTCTTGCTTGGACGGCATTTTGACAACTGAAGAGTGAATTCCAAAATCAAAATAGGAGCAACATTATACACACACACACCTTCAAAATGAGGGGTGTTCAGGTTTTTTAAATGCAAAATTGAAAGAAATACGTCAAGTTGATATTGACCAAATTTTGACCGTATCACCCTTTAAATGTTATTGTAATGTGAAAAATCATTATTTTTTCCATTAAGAAATTGTTATTAAAAATTAGGTTTTGCCGAATAAACGAACTATACATATAGAATATGTTTATGTTTTAT